TCGCTACTAGGAGCAATGACGCTACTAGGGGCTCCTGGCATCGCTACCAGGAGCAAGGACGCTACTGTAAGGCACTTGTTACTAGAAGCGATGCACTTGTTCCTAGTAGCGTGGCACTTGTTACTACTAGCTTCAGGACTTTGGTTTCGGCTTCCTGTCCGGCTTCGTTGGCGGCATTCGTCTGACTTGTCCTGTAGGTCTCATTTTGGTCCGAATCTGAGTGAGTGTTGTTCCTCTATCTACGTTTTACCCCTTCCAGCGGTTAACGGTGAAGTGGACACCCTCAAACGGGTAGCGAGCTCAAGAGGGGTGTGCGAACTCTTGTTGGGGACATCTTTGCATGCCTAGCCTTCCTGAATGATTCGAGCACTCATCCATCCAACACAAACAATGCAGCCAACAAGAAATTAGAGAATTCATCAGCTTTGCCATTTATTGTTCAGTCCCTGTCAGTCAGCCACAGATCCAACCGGTAAATTACACCAGGGTTTGGCTATTTGGGGTGCAGCAACTGTGGGTTGGAGAAACGTGCTTGGAGAAGAGAGCCCATCCTTTATAGACGAAACAAAACACATTGCAAGGTCGGTACTGTCCGGGAAGTCTGGCTCCAGTTCTGCTTTGTCTAAGTATGGAACTCCTCTTGGAGGATATAGGCCAGCAAGCGCCAGCAAGCGTTAGACTGTTAGAATCAGGTAGCCAACTCTCTTTCTTAACAAAGGATATCATTGATACCAAAGAGAGAGGTATATCTATAGGCAATGGCCACGAATCCTCAAAAACATCCGTGCGGATGACCTTCGGCGAGGCTTCAGATGAGGCTGCAGCTGCTTCAGGAGCCTGCAGCTTGCGTCGATGGGATCCCCTGGACGATCGATGGATATCGTCCGATCGCTCGGTTCGCAGCGATGCCAGGAGCCCCTAATAGTGTCCTTTGCTCCTAGTAGCGATGCTGTATGTATGACATGTGTGGAAGGATGCGAAGATCATTCTTGTTAGAATCGATCACTTTGTGCTTTGTGTCCTTTATCAATGCTCCTTTCTTGGATCTCAAAAGATTGGAGAACGCACAACACCTTATGTCTTTGAAGGGATGCATCGTTTGGGAGGTCTTTTCGAACATGGAGCACCAGCAGATCGTACCGACAGAAATCTTGCATCCTATGTGACCCATATCGCAGGTTGTGATCTATTGAACCGTAAGATGCTCAACAAACACGTCTCTCAAACAGGGATGTTGCAGGGGAATGCTGCTTAAAGTTTCCGCAATCTGGGCCTCAACTGCCCCCTACAACAAGCAAGAACGCTTTTCTTGTTTTTATGTTGTCCTATGATTTGGCCTTTGGACAAACTCTGGGCCTTCTCTGTTTCCGGTCCGATGCTAAGGTCAACTGATGGGATGTTCTGTCCGAATCAACTCCCCATGATGGCCTTGGGATCAGCTGGTGCAGGCGCTGGTGTGCCTCCGCATCAAATCAGCGTAGCCAATAGGCAAAGTTGAAGCAAAGCAAGATTCAAGTGAGCAAGAATCCCTTTTCTTCTTCTCTTCTTCAAGAGAGGATAGGTGAGAAAAGAGGTAAGCTGGCAATCGCTCTTAGGTTGGAGGCCATCGCTCTTAGGTTGAGGCCTCGGGGCCTCGGGACTGGACTTGTTTCGTTTGAACCCTCGAACGATCGATGTGGCTTTTGTCGAGTGTGGAAGAGCTGTCACGTCATATTGGACTAGGAGCAAGGTCGCTACTAGGAACAAGTGCATCGCTTCTAGTAACAAGTGCCTTACTAGTAGTAACAAGAAGCTACGAATGGGGCTCCTGGCCTTACTACTAGGAGCAAGGTCGCTACCAGGAACAAGAAGCTACGAACGGGGCTACATCGCTCAAACAGGGAGACCCTCCCAGTTCGATCCACCGGAAGATGGAAATAGACTAAAACTCATTGTGCCAGGATGTCTCCCTATCAAAATACATGCCCAATATGTGCAGAGCAGACTCAATCACTGCCGCACGGCTCAATGCCAAATGAATCTGAGATTGCTTCGACAAATCATGCACTTTGGTCACTATGCATTCGATGTCATCAAAACCCACAAACAGTTACTCTGATCAAGAACATGTCATATCAAAACACAACCAATATAGCTACGAGTCTACGAGTAGGGACATCTGAGGTGCTTCCCCATGCGCCTGAGGTCTCTTTGACCTGACAGTGCTGTCGCACAAAAGACTCGATCTGCTGACCTGTTCTGCATCCAACAAGGTCCAAAAATGCAAAACGAGTACTAGGGTACTACTACTAGTACTAGGTTCTGTTACACTTTTGCTTACTTTTGGTTTAGAAACGGTACTACTACACTTTGGTTTGTCAAAATGAGTCTCCAAAGAGTCTCCGAAGCCTCAGGTCCCACTGCCGGCCCAGGTGATGCCTGAGCGAAGAAGCCAGCAGAAGCCACTCACTAACCCCCACACTGAAATGACCTTCCACACAAAAGCTCCAAGTTGATCAGACTGCGCATGCCCACGGGAACTGCGGGGAGGATCAGTTCCTGTCGAAAAGGAATCATCCTATCTTGGAAGAGATCCCACCCATGCATGTCTGATTTGCGGTTGGATGGCTAGGTGTTCAGTGTCAATAGTGCAATCGGTGCCTCCATTGATTCAAACAACCTGTTCATTCCTAATGTCCTAAAAGACACAAACCCCGTCGCGAAGGCCTCAGGCACTGCCGGTGCAGGTGAAGCCTACGTGCGCATCCCGAAATCCTTCAAGCATTATCAAACTGCCACTTTACTGCCACAATGTGATGCACACAGTGCCAACAGCCACTGGCCTTCGGCACACCCGTGGAAGCTGCAGCTGGAGCCTGTGTCATCACAAGAAGTTGCATGGCGTCAAGTGTTTTCTAAAGAGTGTCCATGCTTTTCGCAACTTGATCAGCAACCATGATAAACAACCTGATCAGCAAAGCGTTTCCATGCTTTTCAAGTACCTTCATCACTCAAGTGCGTTTCGCAACCAAAGCAAAGATGATCTGCGTGACGCTTCATGAGCCAATAGGCCACACAAACACCACGTACGACACCACCGTCTTTGTTTTCTGCGCCTTCGGCACCGACGCAGCTGGGGCCTGGGCGAAACGAAACCGGCCGAAGGTGACCCCAACAGCTGAAACCGCTAGGAAGCAGGATAGCTTCTAGGTAGGACGCAGGACAGCTCACGTGTATTCAGGCAAGCTCCTCAGACCTGAGTGAAAAAAGGAGTTGCCTTGAAGAAGCGCTCACACTAATGATCTGTACTTGTGAGCTAAGGAGGTGATCACATGTTGTTCAAAGCTGAGCCGCCTCCCAAACCAGGTGATCTTGGAGTACCTCCTGCAGCCTTCTCCCCGCGACTCTTTTTAAGCAAAACAAACTGTCGAGCAAAAAGAAACCAGCTGGGCTACCAATAGCTGTGGTTTCCATCTCCACCGCTCTGCTTCGCAGGGGCGGATGACATTAACTACTGCGGGTGGCCACTGGGGCGTGGAAGCAAACATCAAAGACTAGGAAGAGATAGGAAGAGTAAGAACTCTTTGCTCGAGGTTGCCAGTTTTCTTGGACATAGCGGTAGACAAAACCCAATCAGCCCTTGGGTAGGCACTGACACAACAATCAAACACTACATACTCTTAAGCAACCTTGAAAAGGTTTGCAACCACCCTCTCCAAAGCCTTGCCGCCTTCACAACCAGGCATTCATTGCGCTCTCGCAGGAGGATTCACCTGCGATCTTCCAGCATCTCACTGGAGCTCCACTGAAAAGTCGGTAAAAACTCGTGTGGTGGCATCCAAAACACGGTCGAACCATGCATGTACATCATCTCACTACCAAAGACCATACACTTTGTCAAAAATCGAACTTCTTCTGAAGACTTGGACGCCTGAACTGTGCCATGTCGCCGGGGTGCCTCATGCACCAAAGCTCTCAGCTAAACGAGCCCTGCGAGGCGGGATGCAACGCCGTTCAGCGCTACATAAGTTTCGAGCAAGAGGTCTCAATGATGGAAGACGCTTTGTTTGTTCTTGGAAACTCTGGCATGATGAAAGAGCTTTGGCACAAGTATTTGCGGCAAAAATAGTGTTTAAAAACGTTCTGAGGGTTTGGGGTCTGGCTGCGAGCAAAGGCGGCCCAGAATCTGGCGGTAGCCCACTGGCAACTGGTCAAGGAAAACAAGTGACCATAAAGTTACCGGTACGTTCCAAAAACGAATCGTGCGGCTACCCGTCGGGTTTCTAAGTTTCTTCGAGCCCCAAACCAATATAGACCCTTCCCTTCCAGGTTTTTGGGGTCTGGCCTCCAACTCGGACTGGGCGCGCCAGGGCTGCCAGAGCTGCAAGGGCTGTAGCTTGAAAGGACTGGATCCACATAGTAGTTGTAGTCCTTAGACGAGTTGTCAAAATCAAGGCCCTACGAAGCTGTTTGTATCAGCTCAAGGATCGCACGATCACACAGCCCTGTCTGAGATAGGCAACAAGAGACTCTGTGCGCTTGGGCGCCCCAACAGAGCGACAACAACGCGAGCAGAGTCAAGGAAACTGTCCCATCCCGAACACACCTGGAACTGAGAGTATAGGGAGAACGTATCTTTAAAAAGTGAGCTAAAAAGAAGAAAACACAATTAACCCAGCTGACAGCCCCAAGAGCAAAATCTTGAATACCTCCCCTTCGCCTGGGCATCGCTGTCGCTTCGCGGGGTTTTTGTTAACCCAGGCTGGGGCACTTCCCGCGACCTCCACGACAACGATGGGGCTGATGGGGCTTCGCCCTTCCTGTCAAGTCTGTGGAGGTTGCCAAGGAAAGACATGCACGCCACGTTTTGTCGCAAAAGGTTGACCCTTTGTGGCATGGGGTTGGGTTCGTGGGCAATTGCGCAAAACGTTCAGGCATCGGACGCGCCTGAGACTGGATGCGTGGGTGCGGGGGTAACCAGTAACCACAAGGGACGGCGCGCACTTTCTTGGTTTAAAGCAGCAAGAATCAAAGCGCAGAAGCCGCGATGGTTCAAACCTGTCACAATCAATCCGCACGCTCAAAGCAACAGCTTGACGAGTCCTGAACTTCCAAATTAGAAACCAAAGCCTTCCAGCCTTCCTAACAACTGAAAGCCTGCGTTTCCAAAACCGGCTTTTCATGACAAAAGAGCAATGGTTTTAGGTTTCAATTTCCCCCGAGCCGTGGAGCAAACTGTTGGAAGCCTTCGGCCTCAAAAGCATGGGGAACCAACCAAAGTGTTTCGCAAATAAGTCCAAGAATTCTTCAGAAAATAGTGGCTGCGCGGGAGTCCAACCTAAATACAAATCAACGGAGCACGGGCCCTGCAGAAGATTGGATCACACCACAGGCTTGCCTGATTTTTTGAAACAAATTGCCACCAACCCTTTTTCAATGAAGCGTGTTCTTTGTACGTTCTCCGGTCTGTCCCGGCGCCACTGTTTATCGCAAGTTCAATGCCACTCGCAAGCCTACGTGAGCATGCACGGAACATCCGGTCTCCAGCAAGATTTTACGAACGGGCGCCTTGCGTGGACGAATCAATCTCCATTGGCGCCCATCAGCCTCTCACCCTCCTTCCGTTCACCAGCACAAATTTCTGCACCGGGCTTCCCGAGCTCTATGTCAGCACAAAAAGGGCAATGATGTTCACGCAACATGTGGCTCAACCAATTTTTGCTTTGCATCGCACTTTGTCCTGCCAGTGCGGAATTCTTGTTGTCCCAGCTGTGACTGAGCCCCTGCGCTTGATGATTGCTTGGCGGCTCCTGGCACTGCCGCTTCCTCTCACTCGCGCCGGCAGCCACCATGTTCAGATTAAGCCCAACTGTCTCTAGCGCAACCACACTTTTAACTGCAACGTCAAAACCCACATGCTCCGATCCTTGGGTTCTCGTTTCGTCTCCTCGCCACTGCACCACACAGCACCACACAGCCATCCGCAGCTCAGCCTCGGTCATCCCAGCGTTGCGCGACACCGCACAGCACAAAGCACCACGCAGCACACAGATGCGCACAGGACAAAGCACTGCACCACACTTACAGCCGTCCGCTGCCAAACCTCGCTCGCCATGCGGCTAGCAGACTAAACGATAACCCGAGCACAAGGCTTTCTATGTGTTTGCTCTTTAAGCAAATGCTTGTTATATGTTTATGTCAACAAAGAAAGAAATGAGAAAAGGCTTCCTCTTGTCATCGCGTTCTTAATCTTCTCCCTATACTCACAGAAGCAAACAAAAAGCAAATGTTTCGAGGCCCGGGTGTGAACGTCACTTCTTGTTGTAGCCTTTACTGGCCTACTGTTCAGTAGCCAAGTGGCCAGGCAAACCTGAGCCTCTTCCTGGCCAGACCGCTGTCAATCCAGGTCCGTTTGACAACGTCGACCATGAACCCTAACCCGATGGCTGAAGCTGAGGAGCCCAAAAAAAGAAAGTATTCCATATTTGGTTGAATTCAATACATGTTCTTAGACTAATTCGCTGAATGATAGACTCAAGATTGTCATACATATACTCCTCGAATTGTCTTGAATGACATGATATAATATGATAATATGTCTGAAACATGTCTTAGATAAAAAAGAATGCTGAATGGGTTTTCATGACCTCGCATTTTGTGAAATGGGGCTTGAATCCGTCTTCAAAAGAGCGGACAAGGTTCGCTTCTTCAGAATAAGTTTAGACTAGAAGGTCTATTCTATTCAGCTTCTTCTAGCTTCTTCTTTTCCTTTGATGCTCCACTCTTCCTCCTCCTCGGTCCTCTTCTTCTTCCTCTTTTCAACCCCTTTGTCCGCCGCATCCAGGGTCATCATCCCCCAGTTCGCACCTCCGCCTGGCGATCGGCCTCCACAGCGTCCTCCAGCGCCACCGCGCGCGAGGGCCGCGCGTAGCGGTGCTCGCAAATGGCCTGGAGACGTCCGGGGTCCGAAGAGCGAGGCCAGGAAGCTCCGAGCTCTCTACTAGGAGCAAGGACGCTACTAGGGGCTCCTGGCCTTTCTACTA